GGAACATTTTTCCACAAATCATCACTCAATTCTGTAAGTGGTTCTGATTTACTATCGCTGTTCTCTAGCTGGTCTAAAACCGCTTTTGACGTAAAGGGACGCTTTTTGGACGCCATGGACTTTTCTAAGTTTCCAGGCAGAAAGAACAGACAAAATGCAGGCAGGGCACAGGACAAAGCACTAGGGACAAAATGTATGTGAAATGGGATGAAACAGCAATGTTTTACTATTTAAAATTGAAAAAAAAAAAAAGACATTTTTTAAATTTTTAAAATTTCCCGCCGCCGGCGGCGCCCGTACGTCCCGACGTCACGGGGACCGGAACACAGAAGCCAGATGCCGGCATCGGCCGGAGGAGATGGCCGGGGACGCTGCAGGAGACACATCGTGGGAACGAAGGACAAGGTAAGTGCTGCAGGGACCCCCAGAGCAGCGCCGCATGGTAAGCCCGAGTGTAGCTCGGGGGTTACCGCTTGTGGTATAGAAATTTTACCCCGAGCTACACTCGGGAAAACCGCCAGGGAGGTTAAAGAAGAAGGTACAGGTCTGTGAGAGCCAGACATCTTGCTTGTTTGTAGGTGACCAAATACTTATTTTCCACCCCAATTTACAAATAAATTCTTTCCAAATCAGCCAATGTGATTGTCTGGATTTTTTTTCTCATTTTGTCTCTCATAGTTGAGGTCTACCTATGATGCCAATTACAGGCCTCTCTCATCTTTTTAAGTGGGAGAACTTGCACAATTGGTGGCTGACTAAATATTTTTTGCCCCACTGTATATATATATATATTGAACATTCATACAAGTCCCTAACCCTCAAAGGGTGTACAATCTAAGGTCCCTAACTCACATTCATACATACACATATTAGGGCCAATTTAGACAGGATCCAATTAACCTACCAGCATGTCTTTGGAGTGTGGAAGGAAACCGGAGCACCCGGAGGAAACCCACGCAAGCACAGGGAGAACATGCAGACTCCATGCAGGAGGCGCCATGGTCGGGAATCGAACCCATGACCCATTTACTGCAAGGCAGACGTGCTAGCCACTGTGCCGCCCCTTTTTTATTTATTTTATTTTTTATTCTTTATTTTCTGTCTTTTTTCCTTCTCCCTCCCCTACCCCCCCTTTTTTTTTTTTTTTTTTTTTTTTTTTTTTTAACCTTTTTCTTTACTATTGTGGTTATTTTTTCGGTTTTCTATTTTTTTTGTCCTGGCAATTCTTGCATTCTCCATTTTGTTTTTTTTTTCACCTTCATATTCACTTGTGTTTTCCCCACTGTTCCTGGTGTCTCTTCGGCTCCCTTTTTGGAGCTGAGCCTGCCCTTGGCCTGACGAGCAAACTGACGTCATGGGTCATTGTGGCGGAACCGTTCCGCCTGGGCTTCCTCGTGCGGAGCTGTGTCACACCCAATGGTCCTCTTTTCCAGCAAGTCATCCAGCACTCTCCCAAGGCAGATATTATAGCTAAGAAACCCCTCCCTTTTGCTCTACCCAAAACCACGAGTCGGAACTTCGTGTAGGGTGAATGACTGACTCTTTATTAAACACAGCTCAGTTTTCCCCATATACAGCTTCAGAGTGAAAGACTAAAATTTCCCTATGTAAAGTGCAGCGCTTTAACAAAGGGATAAAACTTAAACAACAATTCGTCACAAATGCTACACATAAGAGACCCGGCGAGATTCAAACCATTTGAACAATGTTGGCGTTTTGCTTCCCCGGTCGGTACTGGTTGAGCTTCAGCAGGGGTCGGCAAAAAGTGGAGACGGCGTCATTTCCAAGGAGCACCTCAGCTGGCAAGATGTGGCCCCGGCCCCAATCCAATGATACCTTATACAGTCTCCACCTGTAAAGCTACAGATCGCCCACTTGAAGAGGTTGGACTAGGGTGAGTGTGGCAGTGTCCCGTATAGTAGATATCAGAAATGATAAAGAAAAGACCCCGATGTAATGCACTGACCAGATAGCGCAAGTTAAAGCGCATGGTGGACATTTAAGACCTGTTTGGTTGCCCTGGTACTCAGCCTGACTGTATCACTGGAGCAAGGCTCTGTTAGCCTGTTGTCCAGGTCTATAGGGGCTGGTTAGGGGGTGTTTGTCCACCCAATGTCGAGATGTCCATTGTCTGTCCGGAACAGGAAGCTGTGGTCCAGCCACTGTGTGTGCTGTAATGGTCCCCATTCAGTGAAGGGTGGGGGATGTTCCGTCTGTAGGCGTGACCACTAGATGTCATCGGCGTTCCACAGAAGCTGTATCACGGATCCAGGGACGTCACTGCAGATGTTGACTGATTGCGGTCTGCACCAGTGGGCCGGTACGGCTTGCTGCAAAATTGCCACACCATGGATGGTGCACAAACGTTAGAAGAAAGCTATCAATGTCACAATCCCCCAGGACCTATGACGGATTTACAGGGGTGGCATCCCCCTTGGAGAAGGTAAAGAGCCCGTGGAAAAAGGTATAGGGGTCTCAAATAGAGCTGTGATAACGTTTATTTGGTGGAAAGTGTTCGCTTTAAGCATTGAACAATCGCAGAAAATCTCGAACTTACTTAGAGCAAAAGGTACAGCTGGCTTCCGGATAAACGGCCAGGGACTCCGGAGGATACATGTACATAATTGTGGCGGAAAACCGCTTGGGCTTCCTCGCTTGGTCACTTCCTCTAACGCATCCAGTATCGATGCTAAGTACACCATCATCAGAGGGGACTTCAACCCCACCCCCACCCCCAGACAGCCTGGCATCGGGTTTTCCCCACCCACAACAAACCCTACAACTAACAATACAGTATGAACTCTATTAGAAGTGAAAGACTACCAGGTCACATTTCCCTAAACAAACAGTGTAGAATGTCTGTGAAACATGTCCAGCTTTACAAAGGGGATAAAACTGGAACAGAAAGGGCAAAATGTGATCACACAGGGACAATTCGTCACAGTCCTGTCCCGCCGCTTAGTAGCTATGTGCCACTCGAGGCGCACCCTGATTGGTGGCCACTCTCTGTTGCTTAGCAACGGCAACGCTAAACCTTGCTAGCAATCGACAATATATATTGCTAGCAATGTGCCTTATCGACATTATATATATTAGAGCCATGATTGCTGCTCTTGGCATAAAGTAATTTTCGGTACATTGAGGTATATAAACACAGGACTATGACTCTCTAATAACCATTTTTGTTTATTTTGGTGGGATTGTGACATCAAGAGATGTCAGATGATGGGGGTGGTGATGTGTGCTTGGTTTTGATTGGTGGTTTATGTGTGTATATATATATATTCTGTATAGTCACTGCTGTACATGCCTGACGAAGGGGTCCTACGCAGCTCCAAAACGTTGCACTTAATTTCTTTTGTCATGTGATCTTTTTGCCATAAAAACATTTTTTTGGACCATATTGGAGATCTGTGGTGTGTTGGCGAATATGTACGTTGGCTAGAAGACCTGTCTATTTTGAGCCAGCCTTGTGTTGGGCAAGGGCGTGTCTCGTTTGACGTTTTTAGCATTGTTGAAGGTGCGCATGCCTTCTCCTTGGAAGTATTTGTCATTGCACCTGGAAGGCTTCGATTGCAACGTGAGAGGCTGTGGGTGTCCATCTATGCCTTTTCTTGGTGGCTTGGGTGCTGGCCTTTCTTCCACGGAGCATTGAATAAAAGTTCCCTGGTGGTCTCCCCTTCATGTTTCTCATGAATCCAGCGGATGCTTGTCCAGGCGTACTCTGTGCAGTCTCCTTCCTTGTTTCGGTATGTTCCACTTGGGCTATTAGTGCCCCCTGTGCGTTCTGGCTTTGGTGTCTCAGGTTTGCTTGGCAGCCACCTGGTCGTCTGTGCACACCTTTACATATTTTGCACAGTTGATGTGTTGCACCTTCAGATGCTCGTTTTGGCCGCAAGGTTTTGCCGGCTGCAATTTACGGTTCCTTGTTTTCTTCTTTAGGGGTGGTCAACATGTTTGCCTGGTTCTTCCAGTTGCTTTTTGCTTTGCCCACCCCTCATTGAGGCACTGCTTTGGGATGTCCCAATAGTCCAGATTCAGAACAGCTGTGTCAGTGAATGAACGTCAGAGAAAATGGGATTTTTTGGTACTCACCGTAAAATCCCTTTTTCCGAGTTCATTAACGGATACAACACCCACCCCTCTTTATGACTTTGTTTTCTGACATGGCTTTGTTACAAACTGGATTGCCTATAGCAGGGGGGGGGGGGGGATATATACCAGAAAGGCCTGCCCATAGGCGGTGCAGAGAAATTTTCTACCTAGTGTCCTAATCCTGTAGATGGCAATATAAGCCAATGGTCCAGATTCAGAATTCAGAACAGCTGTGTCTGCCAATGAACTTAGAGAACGTAATTTTATGGTGAGTAACAAAAGTCCCATTTTTTTTTTTCCCAGCTGTTCCTGGGGCCGTCGGGTGTGGAGGTTTTTTTTTTTTGGTGTTTTTTTTTTTTTTTTCCCCCTGCCTCTACATGCCCCTGCATGTTAGCCTATGTGTCCATGTACCCATAGTTGTTCAGAGGCAGAAAAAAAAAAACATTGCCAATGTATCCAGGAGCAGATGTGTTTTGACAGAAAAAATTGCTTTATGTCTTTAAATGCGCCTTAATGCTAGGCATGTTTAATACTTGAGCGTTAATTTCAAAGGCCAGATGAAATTATTCTGGCCAGTGAAACAAATTGATGCCCAAGGTCTTGACATGCCTAAATGTGTTATGCTTATGTCAAGCGCTTTTCTGCCAAAACGTTGAAGCCAGAGGAAAGGCATCTAGAAGAGTTGGCAAAACATCCTGTGTGCATGAAGCCTAAATCTGGTTTTTATTTTGTTCCTTTACCCCCAAGTTATAAATTTCAAAAATAGATTGTATGAGTCAGGTAAATCGTTTGGGTTTTTTTTTTGTGCGGTTTGTTTTTTTTTTGTAACTTTGTGAATAAAGGTGTGTGGTTTTTTTTTTTTTTTTTTTTGGTTTTTTTTTAATTTTTTTTGTTTTTTGTTTTAGAACAACAACTTGCAAAATGAAAACCAGTGCTTAAAAAAAAATATTTCTGCTCTTATAAAAACAGCAAGAGTTGAACTCACACGTAAAGAGGAAGAGATCAACAGACTTAATCAACGGTAAACATTGTCTTTTATTACGAAACATAATTCTGTGAATTAAGATTTATTAGTTTTTTGTTATATTTTTTAAGTTTAGCTGCAAAACATATACCATTTCCTTGTTAACTATTTCTAAACTTTTACAAAAATAGTGAAATCATACTTAAAATTCTGATTTCATCAAATAGCTGATGGAAATACAAAAGATTGCAAGCCTTATTGTTTAAAACTACTAATATGTTTTAAAACTAGCTTTCCGGATTGAATTTTTAATTGTGTAAAGGTACACACCAATCAAAATAGAGAATAAACTCTATTTGCTCTGGTATTTAGATTTCTTACAGATATAACTGTAGTGCACTGATCCAGTTCAATCCCTATTTAGTAACCTATGAATACTTTTTGCGTATCTGTTAGTGATTTGAGAATTATTCCATTCCCCAACATACCTGTAGATTACTTCCTGTCTCATGTACAAAAAGCCTGATATTTGGAAGTCTTAACGGTACTCTCAGCAGTTAATTACATTCAGACCAGCCTTGGAAGTTTGAATTTGTTTGATAAAGTAAGGCAGAGAAAAAGGAACTTATCTAGCACAACTTGCGGACCCTCTTGTAGCACAGGTGGAGCCTTGAGAACTCCAACTATAGCATATTACATAGAATACAGATTAAAGTGAACCTGTGCTTTGCCATGAAGGGAAAAACAAACAGATTCACTGATCTGCTAGCCTCTAAGGGAGGTTATTCTTGCCTTCCTTTCCCCATCCTCTCTTTGCACTGTGATGGCGAGAAACCTGAGAGAACTCCCCTCCCTGATGTGGCAGTGCTGAGTGTCTGAGTAGCCAGATGCCAAGCAGCAGTGCTGTCATGGAGGGTAAGAGAATGGGTCATGGGCCATACCCAAAATAATCAGTTATGCCACGTTTTCAGGCCAACACAGCGGAGGCAGGGAGGGGGAGAAGTAAATATAAGCCTCTGTGGTAGTAGCATTAAAGTTAATCTTTTGTTTTGCCTTTCCATGTGCACAGGTTCATTTTAAGGTAAACTCCAGAAATCCAGCTACTTTGTAAACACTGCAGGCATACCATGCGTTAAAGCATATAAAACTTGTAAAAAAGAAAAAAAAGTTTCCCCCTGCAAGGTAATATCATAATGTGCTAGTTTACATTATATACTAGCACATTATTTGAAACTTGCCTTAAAATGAAGCCCTCCAGCTGCGTGCTGACAGGTCCTCCATCTTTACCCGTGCTTCCTTCCGGGTTCCCAGGCTGCAGCTTCTTGAATGGCTGAGCCACAGATAATGTCACTCCCACACATGCATGGCACACAGCTCTGCAGGAATAGCACGAGTATGCCAGTTCTTCAGAGCACATGCTCTGATGATGATGTCACCGGCAAACTGCTTTGTAGAATAACTCCTACACGGTTCACGTGTGTGTATGTATGTGTGTGTGTGTGTATATATATGTATGTATATATGTGTATATATATGTATGTATATATGTGTGTGTGTGTGTGTGTGTGTGTGTATATATATATATATATATATATATATATATATATATATATATATATATATATATATATATATATATATATGTGTATATGTGTGTGTGTGTGTGTGTGTGTGTGTGTATATATATATATATATATATATATATATATATATATATATATATATATATATATATATATATTAATTTTACCTACAGGTAAACTTTATTATAAGCTTACCTGTAGGTAAAAATAGAAATGAGAGTTTACTGCCACTTTACAGTATAAGTATAGGCAAAACTTTGTCATTTTGCTTAGAGTAAGAGAGGGTCAAGGCATCATTTTTTTTACTGCCAAAACGCAGCTGCTCCTGGATGCACTGGCAGCGGGGTGTTCTATCTCCACTAAAAAAAAAAAGTTGCATTTTAGTTACGCTTTTAAGTCTGATGATATGCCTACCACTTTGTGAACTTATTGTTTTAATTTACATCTGACAGGTTTATTGTGCTCCAGGAAGATAGCTTCTGGAGCTCCAACGCTGGACGCTCTGGTCTCAGTTCCTTCAAGGGTAAAGTTGCTGCGGTGCTATGCCTGCTCCTGCCCAGTCAAAGAAGTCTTTGTATTTTGTGAAAGTATTCACAAAGGCTTCTGTGAATGGATAGCAGCGGGCATAGCTGCTCTGTGTCTTTCTCTCCGCTCACAGCCTCGGTGTCTCCTCGGGGAGTGCAATAAACCTGTTAGATGTAAAGAACAAAGATAAGTCCAGGAGGTGTCATGCACCTTGTTGGACTTAAATCATAGTATAAAATATATCTTATTATGGCACCTAATATTACTGTACTAAATAATAATATTGTGCTCACATTGTACCAACCGTGAGAATTACAGCTGCCCCTAAAAAGTGGGATAACACTTATACATAAGCAATCATGAATATATAGACGCTGTGTAACAGCAAAACCATATATACAAAGCAAAACTTCTCTCTACATTTTATGACCTATATCATTGGGTGTAATATTTAATCCTCTCAATAATCAATATTATCCTTTTAACAATAATAGACGTGAATTAAATCTCATTAATACAGTGTCAGTCCTTTTGTGATGTGATGCTGTGAACCAAAAATCCGTGTGCTTTCACCACGTACAGATAAATTAAGTGAATTGCTCACTCACCAAACTTATTTGAACTCTGGTTAAGGTGGTCAAAAGCGCATTGTTGTAATAAATACAGAAAGATCCACCTCTGGCTTACCCTAGGGTGTTCCTCCCAGTCATCAGCACACCGCAGACAGTGACCCCAGGGGAATGATAAAATTCCAGGTGAACCAACAGTAGATGGATTCTCTATATCAGGCTCTCCTTACGATTGATTTAATGTTCCAAACAGCTAAAGAGAAATCAAATAGATTTCATGCGTTCTAAGTGCAGTATTTATTGGATAAATTGTGATAAAAATACAGCTATGCACTCACATGTAAAGGTGCCCTGTTAACCGGAACCAGTCTGTATATCCTATGTGATCTGGAAATGGCCGATGTGCGTTCCAAGCCTCACCTTCGCTGAGACGGACGTGACGTCACTGGAACCCGGAAGTGACGGAATCACACTTCTACATACGTTTTGCCTGGCGGCGTCTTCAGGAAATGACGACCTCCATGTCCGGGCTAGTTATATAGAGGCTAGCCCTCACTGATTGGATGTCTCCAAAAGCAGGGCTGACATCCTCATTGGATGACCCCTGCCAATAAACTAAAAGGCAAATTAACACAAATAATCAAAAAAGGGAATAATTATGGAATTTTAAACAAGAAAGAAGGCAGATATTTAACATCTAAAGTACCTAGGTTACCAGTTATTTATCAGGTCCCAAAGATACATAAAAACCCAATGAATCCTCCAGGAAGACCTGTAATCAGTGGCATTAACTCATTGCATTTCAGAATGGAAGAATATATTGATTATTTTCTTCAGCAAGAGGCAAAGCATACCTTAAGGATAGTAGGGATCTCATTAATTTTAATAGAGGTATTGACACAACAGAACAAACTTTGTTGGTCACAGTGGATGTGGAATCCCTATATACAAATATAAAACAATTGGATTCCCTTGAAGCCACCTAATGGGCACTCCGTTAATATTCCAGTATAGCAGCCCCTTAGAAAGAATTTGTACTAGAGGGGGTTGGAGATGGCTATGGCCAACAACTACTTCTGGTACAATGGAGAATTCTTCAACCAAATTAAGGGAGTAGCCGTGGGAGCTAGGTATGCCCCGAGTGTTGCTATCATCTTCCTTAATAAAGAGGAATAAGAAATTTTCCATAGTTATACTGCAACTAAAATTGTACAGGAGGTACGTCCAATGATATTTTTATTATCTGGGAGAGGGGACTACAGGAAATGAAGACCTTTCTAGAATCTATGAATGCCAATGTTTATAGTATTTACCAGTAATATCCAAAGGGAGGTCATTCAGTTTTTGGATCTGGAAATCATAAGTGGCAAAAGAACAGACACCAGAACTTATTTTAAAGATACAGACAGAAATGGGTATATCTCTAAAAGGAGTTGTCATCACCCAAAATGGTTGAGAGCAATCCCAAGGGTCAGTTCATGAGGATAAGGAGAAACTGTGGTAGGAGGGAAGATTATGATGAGCAATTAGAGAAACTATTAGACTCCTGGAAAAGGGATACAAAAAAGTAGAGTTGGAACAAATAAGAGATCAGGTTGGAAATAAGGATTGAGATGCACTACTGGTACCCAAGTCTAAGAAAAGCTCAGGCACAGAGATGGCGTTCATCACATGTTTTAATTTACAGTGTAAGGAACTGGAGAAAATTATTGGTCTATCTTACTGAGGGATCAAACTTTGAAACAAATCTTACCAACAAGGCCCACATTTATATATATAAAAAAAGCGTTGGGTCTGAGGCATATAATTTCCAAGAATGTGGTGGAACTCCCAAGGAGGCCCCCCACATTCTTGGATGCCACATTCTCCAAATGTGGAAGATGTAAGACAAGTAGGACGGTTAGAGACCAAAGCAAAAGGATTGACCGTTTCTCATCACATGTGACAGGAGAAACATACGCTTAAAGCTCATCACGTGTGATTCGAGATATGTCACTTATTTACTCACCTGCCCATGTAAATTGCAATACATGGGCAGAGCTACGAGGTAATTGTCTACACACATAGATTATCAAGAATTGTTTTAAACCGCATAGTGTCTCTAACCATTTTGACTGAAACAATAAAGTTCCCAGCCTTTTACAGTTTTGGAAAATAAAGTCTCTAAACACTGGAGGGGGTACAAATATGAGCATAAAAGTCTCACAGATGGAAACCTAGTGGATTCATAGATTGCACACTGGACCCAAAAGGTTTAAATTGGGATATAGATCTTAATTGTTAAGATCTTTGTTAATTGTTAATCTGCATATCCAGAAAGTTACTTCAGGTTCAATGCAAAGGAGCTTTATAAGGACGAGGATCATCTTTACCAACCCCATAACATCTAACCTGAAGACCCACCATCTCTGAGAGGGAAGTTCATCTACCCATTACCTGTTTGATGACATCTGGATTTTAACATAAGGCGCAATAATTATGCGCATCCAGTGAGTGCGCATTACCTTTACCACTACTGCACCGATACCGGATCCAGAGTCATTAAGCACGAGAGTCACTTTATATACTGTTTACATTGGAACTTTCTGATTTACCATTTCTGGTTTTAGATTGGATTATTTTATTGGTGTTATTTCGAAATTGTATACGCAGAGTCTTTTTGACTATTTATTTAATTATCCTAGCACTGCACTTTTTTGTCTATTATCTGTGTTTTAGGGTGCTATTGGTTGCCTTCTTGTGCACAGTAGCTTTTTTAGTGTGTTTTATTTAAGGTGCTCACACCTCCTTTATTTTACACTTAATTTATCTGCACGTGGTGAAAGCACACGGAATTTTGGTTCACAGCATCACATCACAAAAGGAATGACACTGTATTAATAAGATTTAATTCACATCTATTATTGTTAAAAGGATAATATTGATAAGACATTATTGGGAGGATTAGTATTACACCCAATGATATCTGTAATGAAATGTAGAGATATGTTTTGCTTTGTATATATGGTTTTGTTATTGCACAGCGCCTATCTATTCACAATTGCTTAAATCATAGTATGCCTGCACTTTTTACAAAGTGGCTGAATTCCTGGAATCCAAACTGTAGTACAGAACAGAAACAAAAGTGCACCAACCTTGCGCATTACCTCAGTAAGCAAATGGTAAATTTTATGAATTAAGAATTATACTCACAAAAGTGGCAATATATAAGGCATATAAAATCCAAAATCAAAGCACTGGAATAGGAGACAAGTGCAAGCACAGGAGGTGTTGTATTTGTGTCCTGGTATCCAATTTTAGCCCTGGTTTACACTGTGAACCGCATTTGAATTGCAAAGCATTCCTGTGCAAATCAAAAGCGATTCTGTGCAGTGTGATTTGAGCCCATTCATTTTTTGATGGCTCAAATTGTTCCCCAGCAAAACAGTGCAGGCACCTTCCTTTTTTTTTTTTTTTTTTTTTTTTTCTTAGCCGCACTGAAATTGGATTGCATGAGTGTTTATACCCATGCAGTCTGGTTCAGGCAGACACACTGAATTTGCAACCTGTTTTTACGGTGTCAACTTCTAATGGACATCGGCAGCAGATCACAGAACACAGTGCGATTTGTGGTGCGGAAAACATATATAGGAATTGCTGCATTCCCCACACTTAAAGTAAGCTTTGCAGGCTTCAACTTTTGTCACAGTTGCAATATTTGCAGGATAAAGCTAACGGATTTCATTTATGGCCTAGAATTAACTTTGAAGAGCTTAGCTTGTCACATAGTGTTTTTTGTTTATGTTTATTTTGCAAAGTCATCTGCAGTTGAACTCTAAAGCTAAGAATGAAATGAAATTCACATTGATAGCAATGGCTGTCTAAACAGGTTGCAGTAGTTATTTGTGCTAATACCTATTTCTCAATTTTTAATCCTTATTAAGGCTGTGTGTTCCAGGAAGTACTCGAAGTTTTAAGCCAAATACAGTACCATTATTAAGTGTAAATACAAAATTAAAGAACAATGAGCCGTCTAAAGACCCAATAAATAAGACTAGTAGCATAAGGAAAGAAGGGAAACCACAAGGAACTTCTAAAGACCAGATGGGTAACTCTTCTTCTACAAAAAGCTGTTCTGAACAGGCAAAGTCTTCTGTAGAATCTAATTCAGAATCTAATGCAAAAATGGAGCAAAGACACTGCAAGGAGAGTGAAGGAACAGAAAAACAGACTTCAAGGCACAAGGTAATGGTAGATGAGAAAACTAAAAGAGAAATGAACTCCGATAGTCAGAGTAGAGATGTAGATCGACGGCAAAGGAGTGAAGGACACAGATCTAGTCTCAGCACTGTAGCAGACGATGGTATTTGTGAAATAAAAGAAAAGTCACTTGGACAACCAACAAAAACTGGAAAAAGTGAAAGATCTCAAGAAACCAGAAATTCTAAAAAGTCAGATGATTGCAAAATGGACAGTAGGAAACATTCCTCAGCCTCCCATGATAAACCAAGCTTTTCAAAAGAAAACACACGATCCCAAGAACTGCATCAGTCAAAAGAAAAGTATATAAAAACACATGAAAAATCTCAACACAGAAAGGAGTCTAAAGGATATGAGCAAGACAAAACTGTGAAACACAAACACAGAACACTCGAAAAGGATGATGGGTCCCAAAGGTTGAATAGAACCCATTTTTCGACTCTTAAAAATGACTACTCTCAAAAATCCTCACCATCGGAACAGAACAAAAGGAGTATTGATTCTGACAGAAAGGATAAACGTTGCTCAGAGTACAGTGGTTCCAAAAATGTAAGCAAAGACTCAAAATCAAGCAAGAATGAAGTTAGGCCATCACCAACCAAAGTTAAGTATAAATGTGATAGCAAAAGTTTATCTGATCGGGACAATAGGGCTGAAAAGAAAAAATCTAAAGATGAAGACGATGTTGGATTTGATCAAAATCACAGAGGGCACCGAAAAGAGAAAGTGTCTCACCATTCTTCAAATAAAGTAAAAATGCAAGACTGTCCTAGTAGAGCAGAAGTGAATTCCCAAAATCTTACAAAAAGCTCAACTTGTCAGAAGGAAGATAATTCTGTAAAGAACTTGAAGTTATCCTTTATGGAGACTCTTAATCTGACCCTTTCTCCAGCTAAAAAAAAAAAATCAAGATTCAGAATCGGCAAACTCTCCTGTGTCTGCTAAGGAAACTGGTATAGATTTTGTAAATATAGAGGTATCTTCTAAAGTGTGCACAAGCACTAAAGATGGTGGAGAATCTGAAGAACATTTAGGTAAACCTAGCTTAATGGATTTGAAGCATAGTACAAAACTCTCTGTAGCAGATCCCATTTCTTCAGATGATTTAAGATTGGTGCATCATTCTGAGTCTGAAGATACTTCAGCACTTCACAGAGAACAGTCAACAGTGACCATTAAGGAGGGCAAGGCACTTGCAGAATCTACACAATCAAATATAGATTGTCTGCAAGTCTTACATATGGAACCAAAGGCCAACATTTCTGATGATGTGGACACACAAAGCATTTTAGATGATTCTGATCTTATTGTGCTTGATTCTTACATTGAAATTGACAAGTGTAGCGATAACGAGATCTCTTCAGCAAATCTGAACATGCCTGTGCCAGCTGAAAATGTTCAAGATAATGGAGTTATCTTATCGCAGATAACTGAAGATGTAGACCAGACAAGCGACTTGAAACCAAATATGACTCGGTCCACAACAGGTATATGTGAATCCTCAAATACTGATCAGTGTTTACATGATGAAAGTTCTGTAATAAGCCTTGACTTAAATTTCTTAAGACGTATACCTAAGGTCGTCAGTCCACTAAAAAGCCCAGCCAGACCTCTAGCACATCTGCCTACAACTGAACGCACGACCAAGGCTTCAGTAGTGAGCGTGTCATATAAAGGTAGTATTTTTTCATTATTATAAAAGTAGCTGTAGTTTTGCATGCAGGCATGCTTTTAGGTTTAGATTTTTTTTATTTCTTCTGCGGTTTGGTCTACTTTTTTTTTTTATTCTTTCACTTTAATTCTAATCCTTGATTTTTATGGTGTTTTTTTTTTTTTTTTTTTTTTTTTTTTGTTTGTAATTTTGTATTTTTAATGCAGATATTAAATGGTTTCTGCAAACTGATTGCTTGCACAGATCAAAATGCAAGACTGTTTTTATATTGGGTAGATTTATGATTTTATTTTTTTTTTTAACTTCTTTGGTCTAAAAATGTTTGGATAATTTAGTAATTTACCTCTGGAGACACTGGTCTGGGTCTTTTATTCATCAAATTTGCAGTTTATGAAGGATCTTATTGATCACAAATTTGCCATTACTGCAGATATCTGTTGAGTTATGGTCTGTTTATTGTTCATTAACACCAAATTCCCTTCAGTAGCAGAGACTAGGTTAAATCGCCTTTCAAATATGCTTTTCTTTATACCCTGTCAGTGCAGTGTGTTAAAGCAGAGGCAAATTAATAAGTTGATGTTCTATTACACAGTTGATGAATTAATAAAGTTATATACATCACTAGAAATGTGTTTATGAAATCTTAATCTTTTTTTTTTTTTCTCCTCATTAGATCTTCCATCAGATGTAAATATGCGCACTCCAAATGAGCTGAACAAAGAGAATTGTGAACCAGTCAGCAAAACTGATAAAGACTCTGAAACTTTTCCAATAGAGATCTCTTCTGATGAAGTTGAGGAAGGGGAGATTATAAGTGATGAAGAACCAGATAATGAGCAAACCTCACAGTCTAAAAGTAGCCCAAGCCAAACTGAGCCCATCAAAGGTACAAATGTGATGAAGAGCCCTGAAAGTCAGGAAAGCAAGGTAGCTTCTTTGACCAAACCAAATGGAGTCATTTCACCACTCAGGCAATCAACTTCAAAAGCAAAGAAAAAAACAAAAGAGAATACAAAAGCAAAATTGCTTGCGTTGCCAGTTGACAGAGGGAAAAATGTAAGCGCTGACTCTTGCCTTGAAGGAGTTTTAAAAATTGTTCCTCCATCAAATATACAGGATGTTCTACAGATGTTGAGAATAATAAGAAAGCATATAAGAAAAAAATACATGAAATTTAAGATACAGTTTCCACTATCCCAGTTCCATCGCTTTGTTGAAGCAGCATCATTATGCTTTACCACTCTAGCAAACCGTTTAGATTGGTCTAGGTTGTGTTCTTCACCAGACAAATTGCAAAACAAAATGTGTAAGGTTATTGAATCCAGGCTAAAGCAGCTTAAAAAGAATGGGATTGTAGATCGGATCTTTGAGCAGCGGCTCATAGATATGAAAAAAAGGCTATGGAAATTTGTAGAAGAACAGCTTGACTCTTTATTTGATACTCTTAAAGGAGTGATCATAAAACTATGTGGCAATGCCAAATTAGAAACTGACCAAGATGAGAATAAAATAAGTGCAATATCATCAACAAAATTGCAAAAATCTGATCAAATAAAGTCTCAAAAAGTGAATAAGACTAAAGCTTCTGTAGCCAAATCAGAAAATGAACGTTGTTTAAGACGTTTAGACTTTCAATATCAAAGAGATGCTGCAAACACAAAACCTCAAACTACAGGGGACCCCAGTGTGGAAAAGAAGCTCTTAAAAGATTTGAGTACCACCTGTGACAAAATTAGTATTTCACCTGGTCATCACACGAGCCTAAAACCAAATATGTCCTCTTCATCCACTGCCAAACCCAACCCATCGAATGAATGTCAAATAGATCAGCAAAGCTCTGCAGGGTTATCCTTTAACTTAGTAAGTGATGATCACATGGGTGACATTTTTAAAACTTTGCTGAATGACAATTTAGAGTTTAACACCCTGCATGAAAACATATGGATATTGGACACTCCAGAGAAAAAAAGCACCTCAAGTCAAAGATATGATGCTGTAAATTCTTTGACAGAAATTAAAACGCCAGTTAAGGTAGCTTTTCCTTGGACTTCTATTTCCCCTCCACATATCGGTACTTTACCTAGACATGAGACTGTACTAACCCCAGATGTTTTTGATGAAAGCTGTCTGCTAGAAGTCCCTACAAGCACCTCATCCAGCAAAAGTGTAGCAACCTCTGAGGACCGATTCAAGTCCTATTCAGTTCTTATGGAAGATCTTGCCGTGTCACTTACTGTACCTTCACCCCTGAAATCTGATTCTCATCTTAGTTTTCTTAGGCCAGTTTATGATACTGAATCATTATCTAAAATAAATGCACATTTTAGTGAAGATGCTGTCTTGGATGAGGAAGATGCCACAGAAGAGGACATACATTTAACTTTGGATTCAGACAACTCAAACCCTGGTTCACCAGAAAATTCTACTGAACCTGATGGCTTTCAGTGCCATCCAAGCGAACCCATGCAAGCAGTTATAATGGAGAAATCCAATGATCACTTCATTGTTAAAATAAGACGTGCTGTATCATCTAATTCTCCATTGTCTGACAGCTCTTTGGTAGTAGAAGCTGACATTGCAGCTACAGGTCAGCTGGAGAGTACACATGGTAACATTCTTGATGAAAGTTTGAAACAAGGGATCCATGTTGAAACCAAACTCAAAGCAGACACCGAGAACGCTTTATTTGGTGAGTCCATGGTGCCATATTCTGAGGAGTCGAGTTTCACAAAAATTGATGAGAAATTAGAACATTTTACAGATGTAAAACAATGTACATGTTCATCGCCTAAAAATGTGTATTCCACATCTGTATTTCCTGATGCCTTAAACCAAAGTTTAACAGACCCATCTGAAGTTGAGTTAACAAATGTACTTCATACAGAGAAAGCTCAGCTAGACAGTGATAAATTGGTAACAATTTGTTCTGAAAGCAGTCCAAAAGATAGTGACAAGATGAAATCTGTTGAACAACAGCTGATGCACTGTGACAAGATGGAAACAACCTTTACAGAGGAAATCATAAACTGTCAAACTCCATGTGCAAATACAATTATAGGGAGCATTCCTGAAGCTGTGTCTGTAGACTTCAATCCGAAGAAAAAGAAAAGGAAGTCATCAGAGAAGGGACCTTCATCCAAGAGACTAAACATTTCTTTTCTTCCTGACAAGAACACTAAAAAGGAAGGTTCCTGCTATAGCAGGACTGAGGATGAAGACAAACCACAACGAAAACACAGAAGGGTTGTCAGTGAAAGCAATGTAATCTTTTCTTCATTTAAGCATTCCCCAAGTGGTGGAATATCTGCAAAGAATGTGATCAAAAAGAAAGGAGAAGTAGTTGTTTCCTGGACAAGGTAAATATTGCTTTAAGTGTCATTTATAAATCTAGGATATAAGGTGGTTTATGAATGTAATTTTCTAGCACTTTGGAGAATGTGTCTGTATGGCTACTTGTAGTATCCATCATTGGTGCTTATGACAAGATGTTACTCAAATTCGGAAGTGCCTGAACAAGGACTTTTTATGGTGAGATCACCAGGTATTATTTTTATGAAAGCTGCCAGTTTAAAGAGACTGAAAATGAGTATTGGCCCAAAGTGCTTTGATACCTCATACCACTTAGGAAACCTGGTAAATAACTGTTTGTCCTCCTCAGAAGTAGATTTTACTCAGACGTAGATCTTACTATTTCTTGCTTTACATCAGGGATCTTATAGGCAAGTGTGTGTAGAGCTTGGCAGAGTATTTTTTCTCCTTTCCTTCAAACATAACCTTTTGGTTTGAAAGACTATTTTCAATAACTTTTTTAAGTCTTGCCAGTTTGTTGTTTTCAGATTTTCTCTAGTTTGCAGATATATTTACTTTTGACATAGGTCATATCCATTAGTTACAATTTCATTGATATTGTTTTTTCCCTTCAAATCTACCTTGTTCCCTCGATTATGCTTTTCAACGCCTAGCAACAAGTTCTTGTTTCCCAAAACATGGTAACACCCATTACTGTTTAACCATTCTTTTCAATCTCTGTGCTGCTCATAAGTAAGATGAGACCGTTCACCCAGTTCTGGACCTCAGTGATTTTGGTTATTTGCTGCAAGAGCTAACACATGGAATTTCCTAGGATATTCTTAAAGCTGAATTCCAGGAATTCAGCCAATCTGTAAAATGTACTGCAATACTAGGAGTTAAGTGCAATGAGATGCATGCCACCTCATGGACTTATCCCTTTAATTTACTATTACGCTTATCTCTCGCTCACTTTTTTATGGAGCCTTGGGACCACAGCTGTCGCTACACTCAAGGAGCTCAGACAGGAGAGACACTGCCTTCTCATGCTAACATCTCTGCTGGCCCCTCCTCTTTGTTGCCTATTTACATGAGCCTTTGCAATATGTGAATGGGTTCACAAAATTCAAAGCACTCTGATTGGACAGGTGGGCTGGGAAGGGGCAGGCACAGTGGCTGCATGTGACTCTGCAACTGTTGGAGCTGAGATCAGAAGTTCCAGCATTGGCGCACCGGAAGTATGATAGCTATGCTCCTGGCACTCCATAAAAATGTCACTTGTAAATTAAAGCGGAGCTCCACCCAAAAGGGGAAGTTCTGCTTTAAGGACTGCTACCCTGCTCCTCATTAAGGATTGGCACCTTTGGGGGGCGGGGGAGAAGCAGGTACCCGAATTTGACAGGTACCCACTCCATCTTCTGGTCCGATCGGAAGCAGAAGGTGTCCTCCTTCCCTGTAGTCTTTTGGGACATGTGACAGGTCCCATAAGACCACAGGACCATTCATGAAGCTCAGTGCTACTCGCACATGCGCAGTAGGTACCCGGCTGTGAAGCCGCACCTCCTGGAAAACAGGATGGCCGGTGAAACGGGCTGCAGGGCTGTTTTTTAAAAGTCAGCAGCTACAGTTTTTGTAGCTGCTGACTTTTATTTTTTGACAGCGTGAGTGTAACTCCACTTTTAAAGAGTATATATTTCCTTTCCTGCCAACATAACCTTTTGGCTTGAAAGACTATTTTCTATAACTTTTTAAATTTCACGAGTTTTTGCTTCAGATTTTCTCTAGTTTTGCAGATATATTTACTGTTGACATAGGTCATATCCATCAGTTACAATTTAACTGTTCCCTCATTTATGCTTTTCAAAGCCTAACAACAAGTTCTTGTTTCCCAAAACATGGTAAAACTCATTACAGTTTGGCCATGTTTCCACTGGTTCTTTCCAATCTCTGTGCCACTCATAAGTAAGATAACAGTTCACCTGGTATAGAGGGATGTTCTTGGTTTTGTTTTTCAGGTCAGAGGTCTACAACCACTATAGTGTTTAATAAAACTAATTGAAGACCAGGCCTTTTTCTGACACTGTGTTTACAAGCAAAATTCTGTGTGTGGTTTTTTTTTTTTTTTTTTGCTTGAAAATTACTTGGAACCCCCATAAAGTATGTATAATTTTAGTGGAGGCCCTAGAGAATAAAATGGTGAGCTTTGCATTTTTTATGTCGCACTGTATTTTTGGAGTAAATAGATGCCTAACATGTCATGCTTTAAAATTGCGACGCTCATGGAACAGCGACAAACTACGTTGCCATAGGCAATGCTTTAAAGGCTTTTACAGGTTACCAGTTTAGAGTTAGAGGAGGTCTGATACTAAAACTATTGCTGTCATTCTGATGTTCACGGCGATACCTCAGATACGTCCAGGACCACGTATCCACGTGCCCAAGGTGTGCTTGATAGCCATGTGGATCTTTGTTCAAAGTTTTATCGTATTGACGTTGCTTTGGCTGATGACAGTTTTGGCTCTGAAGCTCTGCAGGTGTACCTGTGATTTAGGCCACACTTGTTTTAATGTGTTTTTGTTTTGTTTTTTCCTCATGAGTTTTGCTTTATTCTAATGAAAATTTGGGTAAAGGGGATTTTTTTTTTTCTTTACAATAATTTTAATCCTTTTATTGTGCATTATAGCATAGACACTACCATACTACTGTTTTTATGGTGCTTTGATATGCCCTTGATGTTTTTCACTCAGTTTGGTATTTCTTCTTTCTGTTATTCTCTCTCCTTTTCTTCTAGTACTTGTAGTTGCTACTGTTTTTCTCTTCTTTCAGCAAGGGCTGAACCACAATGCTAGGTACACACGACACGTTTTGCTGGGTTGAACGAAAAAAAAAAAAATTGAAAGGTCGCTGTACTAACTATGCGATGTGCAGGGATCTCCCCTGCTTTGCAATTGTATTCTGACAGGGGGACTGCCCCTCTGCCAGAACACACTGATCAATGCTCACAGCCATTCGCTGCTAGCGCTGATCAAATGCTGGTTTTCCAGCATGCCTGTTCAAAAGAAGCCAGACAGGCTGCTGTACACTCTGGCCAAATGTCGGTCAGTTTGTTGAACCGGCCAATATTTGGCTTGTGTACCAGCTTTAAATGGGAGAAGGAACTTTTTTTGCTTAGTGACCATTTTCTTTTCCTAGGTGTATACCCAAAGATCTGTTGTGTTGCTAATTACCTAAATGTGAAAAAGATTCCCAATTTTTTTTTTTTTTTTTTCACTGCTTCATATATGACTGTCCTAAAAACTAACTTTTTTCTGTATGAAATGGTGTACACTTGGGCCACTATATTTAGGCATCTTTCTACTGTTAGCCTGCAAGTGAGAATTCAACGTGTTTGAGTAATGTGACAGGTAACATCAGCTAAGAGAGATCATTCTGCTTATGTAAATAATAGACTTTCAGTTGAACTGACAAAGCCATTATTTGTTTCTAAAGCAGTAATAAACCCAAAAGAAAAAATGTATTCTATTGCCGCTTGCCAATTCTTGGATGTGATGGCTGCATTCGTTTTCTTGTTTCTTTTATTTTCAAATAGATAAGATTTATTGTCCTTGCAAATAAAACAATAATACATTTCAGAAAGTAACACTTCATAATTTTTACAAACACAAGCAATATTTCACACTTCTACATCCATAAAACATTATACAAAAACATAAATAATAAACACCTCTAACATAACAAAACACTAAGCTGACTGGAAGGTTACCTAATTTAGGCTAATTTCACATTTATGGCAGCCCATGGGAAAAAGCTCTCCAGATATATTCTAACTTTAATATTTCTGTATTTTCTGTCTGATGGTAATAATAAAAAAAAAAAAGTGATAACTATTATGAAATCAATCTTTTTATTTTCTCTGCTCTGCTCTATAGAGACAGTGGGAATCCTAGATATCTGATGGGAAGGGAGTTTATGACCAACTGTTTTCTCAAGTCATCTTCCAGGGCAGCATCTGAGAGATAGGGCTCCTCACACCTACAAACAAAAAACACAATGTCCACTATTATAAAATGTTTGCACATACCTGCCTGCCTCAGTTTTTTTTTTCATCCAGACCAACAGGATAGCCACGCAGTTTTTGTTTGTTTTTTTTTGTTTGTTTTTCTCCAGGGCTCTGTGCTAGTTGCATGGGCCTTCCTGTCTGGCTGCCTCCCCTAGAATTTGGAGAGGTTAGGCAGCATAGGACAGGAGTAGCTGAATGGTCTCTCCTGGGAACTCTTTTTCTTGAAAGCTTGAGGTTTCAGCCTCACGGAGGGTTCAGCAACAATCTCCCCAGCTAGTGGCGTCTTGGGATAGCCTCCCTACTTCTTACATTGCAGCTTGGTCATCAGGCAGCAGGTGTGAAGGACTTAGTCAGCATGGGAGACTGCTGTACATATTCACCTGTGATCCCTTGGGCTGAGGGAAAAGTGACTTGCTGGCTCTCTTCCTCCATTGGAGGTTGCTTTCCCTGTGCTGTGGCTGCTGTATGCACTGTGGGTGTAGCAAGATGGCAGCGGCTGTATTCCAGGACACCAATGGCATCACTTCTGGCGACACACTAAAAGTCTGTGCCGTCTTAATGGTGGCTAGGAGGTCTGAGCATTTTCAAGGGCACACCCCTGTTTGTGGCACTTCCAGTGGCTCCCCTATTGGTCGGGGCAGATGTTGTCACTTCTGGTTTCACCGAGGAGGTGGTTTTAATCTGAAAACATGTTTTACACACCTGAGGTCTTGAAACCAGCCAAGCTGCATGGCAACAGACTCATGGCAGGTATGTGTCCTCCGACAGGGTAGCTGTGGGGCTGGGCCAGTGCTGGGGCAGGAGAGCTTTTAAAGGGCATTACTTTACAAGCTCACTTAAGCTGACCATGTCAGACGCTGCAACATCTTGCCCATCAGATCATGTGAGCTAAAACAGCTCCAAGGTAAGCCAGAACATGCTGGGGCCACCTCTACTTACCGAACCATTATGCACCTAATGCGATTTAGTGGTAGCAGCGATTTTGTATAATTTGTGCCTCATTCTGGG